TGGCTGCCAGGCATTGAGAAGCTTTCTTCCACTAGGTCTTTTGGACATGCTACTTCTGTGTTGAGTCAACCTACCATGGACTGAGCTCCCTGAAACCATGAACCAAATAAGCCCCTCCCCCTTTAAATTGTGGGTGTCAGGAATTTTCCAGCAATTGTAAAGCTGACTGATACAGTACTTTGTCTTCTATACAAATGATAATATACTTCATTGTTATACTAAGCATGCATGCTACAAATAAAATTGAGTCTTGTGCAAATACTTAAATCTTCTATAAAAATATAGAATATAGCAATCTTAGCAAATATATAGCAAATATAGCAATCTTCTTTAAAACCTAATAAGATTTACCAAGTTATTGATTTTATCAAAAATACAGTATCTTTCTCTCATTTTCTTCTATGTATTTATAATGAAAAAGCACAAAAAATTTTTTTAAAAAGAGGTACTTTCCTATTTACCTTAAACTAAGGTCTTCATGATTTAGGTATGGTTCCAGTATTTGTGAACATAAAAATATCAAATAGGTCTGCAAATCCTCAGAATATAGACCTAATAAATAATGGGAGATTTTATTCCAAGGAATCAGTATCATGCCCCTTCAGATCACTATATGGAGAGTTATGTTCTAAAATATAAGAGCTACAGATGGGAAATTTCTTGACTTAATCAACCTAATTTAGGTGTCTACTTAAAGTCAGAGTTGGTTGAACTCAACCTTATTATTTTATTTAAAAATGCAACAGATACTTACAGTGTTCCCAATTCAATAATTTTATGGTCCCATTTAAGATTATATCAGATCTGAGAAACAAGGAAATATTTAGCACTAAAGAAGGTATGCTATTAAAACATGAAGGAAGATTGAAAAAGAGAATTGTATGCCTGTAAACCTAATATTTTCCTTTTGGGGGCCTTTATGATGAAAACGTCTTTCTGTGAATAAAGAACACAGACTTCACCATTTCATTTAAATTTATAAATAGAAAATTTAATATCCTTTGAAACTATGAAAGTAGTCTTGATCCTCCATAATGTTCATCTTTTGGAACCTCTGGTTATTACTGCCATAAAATGAAAGTGTGTGATCATTCTCCATTTCCTATTATAGGCACATAAGAATGTATCAAGTCTCTATAAACTTTTTCCTATAATTCACTATATGTAGTATGGCCATCATAAAATCTTCAGGGGCATTCTGAATTTTTTCACATTCAAGTAAATAACATCAATCTGAAGACCAGGTATGCAGGTGACCAGGAGGCACTCCACTGCCTGGTGTCATACATCAGGGCCACTTGTCCTCCTCTCTTCACCCTTCACCTACTCCCAACAACCCTACCTTTTCCCTTAATTCAGACTCACTGTCCCCTGTAATTCAGTACCTTCTTCCTTCAGGAAATCATGCGTTTTCCCGGTTTGCTTTTGAGTATTCTTTTATTTATGGAATGACTTCTGTAGTAGGAACCTAGTATCTCATGCCCTCTCCCCTGAGTTGTTCATTTTCCTAATAAGAACACCAAAGATGAGGGAAACAAATTGGAGAGACTGAACATATTGATTTAAGATTCCTAATGACCATGGTTTAAAACCAGAATCTAGACATGTGACTGAATAAAGACCCAAGCTCTGGAACCTTGGTTTCCTTGTCTGTATAGTGGAACAACTATTACTGTTCTTACTATTTGGTGGGGGGAGGATTCAAGGATCTAGTGAACCTGACACAGAACACTAGCCTGGAAAATTCTAGCTTTCATCATCATTGTAGACATTGTTGTCATTATCAACTGACGTCAATCCTTTACCATCTACGTATGTATTGTACTCTACCTGTTTACAGCCATATTACAGGTTTATGTAAATATTTATAATGAATGAGGCATTGGGGCTCATTGACTTTTTAATGCTATTTAACAGATAGGACATAAAGATGGTCAGTATATCTGGATACCAGCAGAACTGGATGTCACCTCCCTAACTTTAACTTGTCCCTGTTTCTTGAAACTTCTTCCTCAGTTCCTGAGAACCAGAGAATTGATGTTAACTGTATCAAGTAATATCTATTGAAATTACAATGACATGAAGATTGGGGTCTGCCTTATTGTTCCCTGTCTGTATTCCTTTTGGCACTTAGATGAGTAAGGTGCCCATTGTCTAGTTGTAAAGCTTCCAGATACCTGTCTGGGAACACAGAAGCCATTCCAAGGCTTTGTTGTCTACAGTGCACCAATGAAAATAATTCTAAAAACAGAATCCTTTAAGATCTTCTGGCATCTGTTTCCTCCCAAAGAGTCATGATCAATCTTGAGCAATTTTAAATAACATTATTATTTTTCCTTCTGGCTAAGTAAACACGCTATGTTTATACTATTCTGAGAACACAGAGTTTTTCTGTATTCTAACACAATGCTTCTTACCTTAAATGTGTGGGGTTTCCTCACACATCAAGCAATTTTCCAGGGAACATTAGCTTGATGTCAATCATTCAACTATTTATCTGGTGATTCAGTCAGACTCACAGGCTGAGAGCTCAACCTGCAATGCTTCCCCTACTTCTGATGCAAATCACCAGCCCCAGGATGTGTTTCTGCCCCACTGGCTATAAAGCAGCAGATCCCATGATCCTTTTCCCTGGGCTAGAAAATTTGCTAATATGGCTTGCGTTGTGGTTGATATATTGTGTCAACTTGAGGTGTCGAAAAGCTTAACTAAGTAACTCAGCTGATTATAGACTAAAACCTCTGCACACTGTAAGCTAAATAAAGCTTTTTAAAAAATTTTGGGCATTGGGTATTTTGTCTCAGCAACAACAACAAAAAAGTAACCAAGACAGAATTTGGTACCAGGAGTGGGGTTGTTGCTGTGACTATACTTGACCTTGTGAATCAAAAGCCTTTAACAATGGCTTGTAAAAAGTGTTTTAAAAGGTTCAGGGATTTTACCATTTAAAAAAATCACTAGAACGCCTTCAGATGCTCTGCATGAGAGATTATGGTCAGAGCTCAAAAGACCAAAAGGCTGATAAAAATCCTGCCATAAAAGATAGGGTTTGAGAGGTTTCTGCTAAAAAAAAAAAAAAAAAAAGACTACATTGGATGTTAGAATCCAGACAATACATGTTATGGCTTGGCAAAAAGTTTATCTGCAATTTACTTGTGTCCAAAGACTTTGTCTAAGACTGAAATTAAGAGCAGTAGACTAATTAATCTGGCAAAAAAAAAATCAAGGCAGTCAAATGTTGAGGTGGTGGTATGGCTATTGTTGGGAGCTTTTAGCCAGATTTATGTTAAAAATAAAAAATAAAGAGCCTAACAGAATAATTTAATACATTGTGATTTGGGCCAAAAAAAAAAAAAAAAAAAAAAAAACCTCCAGTAAAGCTGTAGACTTCAAAGATAGAGCTAAAGAGATCTTGATTGCTGAAAAAAAAAAAAAAAGATGGCCTGAGGGCATAACTAAAAGCAACAGATATCCACCCTTTGCGGCCTCAAACCTGCAAAAGTAAAAGACTTTGCTCAAAAAAAAAAAAAAAAAAAAGTCACAGAGTGCCATGTTCCAAAATGGTGGCACCACAAAAAATTGGTTCCTCAAAATCAGGTTCAGAGTGCTCAGCAATCCAAGCACTCGATCCTACAGAAAAAAAAAAAAGCCTGGCTACTCCTCCAGCTGGCGGCAGACCTTGCATCATCCACATAGCACTGGTTTTAGATGCATACAAAATGCAAGAGTTCTGAGGTTAAAAAGGCTACCACCTAGATTTCAAAAGGCCTGAGAAGCCAGACAGTGTGCCCCTGAGAAGACAATATATAAAGCTGTGAGTATAAAGCAAAAGGTGCATTAGAAACACCAAAAGATTTAAAAGCCAAAAATATAAATTGTTTTTAAAAAGCTGCAAAGTGGCAGCAAAACAGTACCCCCCCGCAAAAGCCATGAAAGCTACAGCCACCAAAAGTGCCATAGGGGTGGAGTCACACAAGCCCTTTAGAGCTCACAATGTGCCACAGATTGTTTCAGATGCTGGACATGGAACTATAGGAGTTCATGTTTGCCCTGCTAGATTTTAGACTTGCTTTGGTCCCATTCCCTTGTATTCTATTTGTAACTTTTAAAATAAAAATGCTTATTTTGTGCCATTAAATGTTAAAAGTGTTTCCCTTCTCATTTACACAGGGGCTTGCAACTAAGAGTTTGCCTTGCATCTTGGAGGAGACTTTACTTGGACTTTTTAGCAATGCTGAACTGTTAGGACTTTGACAACTCTTACAGATAGACTAAATGTCTTTTGTATAAAGGGATGTGCATGAGTCTTTGAGGGCAAAATGTTATGGTTCTAATGTAATATGTTGATAGACAATACTGGCTCTTAAGTATTGTTAAACCTGTGTTATAATGTTCAAGTTGTAAAATGATAAAAATAATGTCTTTATATCTAAAAACTGGTTTAAAAAGTGTGTCTGGTTGCCAAGTTGACAAGGGGTGGATTGTTATGGTTGATACACTGTGTCAACTTGAGGAGTCTAAAAACTTAACTAAGTAACTCAGCAGTTCTACATCCTGGGGTATAAAGGGCATGCCCTTCCTGCTGTAGGACATTGTTCATTGTGTCAACTTGAGAAGTTTAAAAGGTTAACTATGTGACTCAGCAGACAGCCAGGCTCCTTACTTTGTATTCATCCTGAGCGTGTGCAAGAGGAGGGCATGGGAATGGTGTAGGGATTGGCGGATAGCTGATATACAATATAAGGAGAGAAAAGAGGCTTGTCCCCCTTCCCCTTGTACTCTGCTTTTGCTGTCTTGTGTCACCTTAAAGTGTTGCCCATGTGCCCTGCCACCCTGTCTTGAAGCCAGCTGATTATAGACTAAAACCTCCACAAACTTTAAGCTGAATAAACCTTTCCTTCCTTAATTTTTGGCATTGGGTATTTTGTCTCAGCAGAAAAAAAAAAAAGTAACCAAGACAGCTCATAAATAAAGAAACATTTTATTTATTTTTGCCAGTTTATTACAAATAATGTTGTTAAGTACATAGATGCACAGTTAGATAAACAGTTCAATGGGTAAAGACTGGAGCGAAGCACAGATTTATCACAACATGGAGATTTTCTTCCATGAAGAAGATAACTCATGTATTAGTTTCCTTCACTACTGTCCCAAATCACCACAGCCTAATGGCTTATAGCACCACAAATGCATTTGAAATGGGTCCTTCTAGGACAGGAGACAGTGCATGTGTTTCCGGAGGCTCTGGGGAAAATCTGTTTGCTTGTGTCTGATTTTCTACACAGTCTGTCCACCTTCCTTGGACTGTGACCATTTCCTCCGTCTTCACAGCCTGTGATGATGCACTGGGTGTTCCTGACATCACTTCACTCAGACCTCTCACGCCTGCCTCTCCACTTTTAAGAACACTTGTGATCACAGTGGATGTATCAAGGTAATCCAGGATAATCTCCTTATCTTAAAGTCAGTTCATTTGAAAACTTGATTCCATCTGCAACCTTCATTCTCCTTTGCAATATATAGTAATAATGTATTCACAGTTTCTGGGGATTAGGAGACAGACATTGGGAGGGGAGTTATTCTACTCTGTCTTCTGCAGATTCTCTATTCAGTTATAGAACTTTTCCGCTTTGAACTTTTTTAAAACTTAAAACAATGATAGCTCAATTAAAAACTAATTGTAATGCTAATACAGCAAGTGGGTTACCTCTTTGTGTTGGAAGTCTTCATCCATTCTGGAGTTCCAAAGGTAAGGACAGCTTCTCCAACATCCCAGTTAATGGATAAGCACCCAGCACTCAGGTGCTCACATCACATTTACTGACAAAGCCAAGTCAGAACCTGGTCTCCTGGTTCTCAGGGCAGTGTCCTCTCACCATCATATTCTGCCATCATGAAGTCTCTTGAAATGACGGCTTCAAAAAGTGGGGACTCCCCACTACTTTCACAGAGCAGATGGACCAGCAAAACAGCCTGAGCTGGCTGATTGGGATGCACATGTTTAGTTCGGGCAAATTCAAAGGAAAAGTCCAGTTCTTTTACTTCTTTTAATTTCAAGATAGATAAATCATTCAATTCATATTCAGAATATGTATGTAAAAATATAATTCCTGCATGTTTATAGAGTATTTCTCTCCTGTATCATCAAAGGCCATCATTTAAAAAACACACTCATCAAGTTTTGAAGGCAAAAGATGTTATCTAAGAATCTTGTTGCCCAAAAAGTTGTCCTTTATATATGTAAGTACCTGAAACATGCCTTCAGAAAGCATACAACCATCCTTAAGGTCTATATTTTTAGGATAGACTTCAACTTACTGACAGAAGGACATTATAACATAGTATGTTAAAACATATTAAAGTTAATAGTCCTGATATAGGAGAAATATAACTCCCAACCTGCAGGATGTCAGATGTGCCAAGTTCCTGTCTCCCAAAATCAAAGAATGAATTACAAGAGATAATGGGGGTTAAGAGCAGGAAAGGTTTACTGAGAGATGGCTCCTGAGAGACAGGAGGGGTCCCCAAAGTGGGTGGCCACCAAGACCCTTTGTCAGAGATAATTTATGCAGCAAAGTCACAATGTAAGTACAGCTTGGGTCACACTGCCATCAGCCCATAGGATTACAAGTATAGCTGCTTAGCTAATATTGCTCCTATAGGAAAAGAGTCACATAGCAAGGGTACATGGAAAGGGATGGTACATGGGAAGGGATGGTACATGGGAAGGGATGGGCCCAGATGCCCTTGTCACCCACCTGAGTGACGGATGCCCATCTGGACCTACTGGACCAGATGATGCTAATTACAGTATAATCTCCCTATTATTTATCCCTTAAGGAGACACATAGGCATGGCCACTGGATCTTTATCTTGAGGCCTTGCCTTCTTCAGGCCACAATTCTAATGATTTTATTTTTGTGTTAACTTACTTGAGAGCCCAGTCTCTCTCTGACTGTGTATTTATTTTTAACTCACTTAGCTGCCTATAATATTCCCACTCTAAAATGACTGGTGATACCAACAAAAACTTGGAAGGGGGTCTGGATACAATATGAGAAAGCCACCAATGTCTTCAATTTGCATAGAAGCTAATTGGCAGTTAGTGCTTTACTCTTTATGTTGAAAGTTTTATAGACACTAATATGAGTACTTTAATAACATTTTTTCTTTTTAAATTTTTATATTAGTACATATTTATAGTACCTAATGGTGACTTTTATAGCTGGGAATTGGGACATGTACCTAACACATCTTCATCTTCTTCCTCCTCATCCCCTCCTCTGCCTCCCCTCTTCCAATCATTGGTAAAACTAAAACCAAAATCACTTGAGGAGAAAATCAAAATAAATACAGTTCACACTGAGAAAAAATCACTAGGAAACAGCAATGTCTTTTTAAAAAAAATAAGCATAGAACAACACAAAGTGGGTACAGTTATATCAGGAATAATAATAATTATGGATATGATTGAATCTTTAAATCTTCAATAATGTACCAAAGTAAAAGACACATTGCCATTAACCCCCTGCCCAATACTTTCTCTGTTTGTTTTTGTTTTTGTTTTTGTTTTTCCCAGTACCAGGAATCAAACTCACAACCTCTCATTTGCCAGGCAAGTGCTGTGCCACTGAGCTAAATCCCCAGCCCCACTTTCTGTGTTTGAATACACTCATCCCATTGCTCTTACTACTTCTTGAAGCAGTTCTGGAAGTCTTCTTTCCTGAATGTCTTTGGCTGCACTGTCACGGCTGCCTTAGTGTCATCAATTGATTCCAAATATCTATCTTTTATGGTCATTTTGACTTTGGTGACAAGCAAGAAATCACACAGTTACAGATCCCATGAAATAAGGTAGATGAGAACACACCAGCATGTTTTTAAGAGACTCCCTTTCCATAGATAACACTCAGCAGAAAAATTCACCACATTTTTTATCACTCCTCCTTACCACACTCACGAAAATGGACTTCCAGAACTGCTTCAGAAAGTGGAAAGAATGATGGGATAAGTGTGTTCAAAGTGAAGGTGTGTATCTTGACGGGGAGTGATGGCCATGCATCTTTTACTGTGATACATTTTTAAAATTTAAACATTCACTGTATATTTTGATCATCCCTTGCACTCCTTAACTATACTACCATTGTAAATGGTTCAATAGTTCAAATAAAGAACTTATAAAATTTAACTTGATATTATTGAAAAGCCCTAACACTTAAAGGAAATTTCATGTATTATTAATTGATTGGGCAAGGATTTAACAGTAAAGTAAGAATAAATATAGCCAAAATAATCAAAGAAAATAGGAGTTGCCATATTCCTATCACACAAGGGAGAATTACAAGAAAAAGATATTTCTTGGATTGAAAAAGTTTATACTATTTTGATAATAAATAAAAAACAGAAAGAAAACATAGAAACCACAGATTTTTATGCTCCAAACAATAATCTTCAAAATATAGTAACCACAGACTACTAAAAGCAGAAAGATAAATTAGCATGCACAGTGGAATAGTGGACACATTACTACTTTTTCTATCTTTTGCAGTCGATGTGTATAAATATATACACAGGTGGGTGGGTCAGACCAAAAACATCTCAAACAACAAAAAAATACTGGGGCTGGGGATTTAGCTCAGCGGCACAGCACCTGTCTGGCAAGCATGACGTCGTGAGTTCAATTCCCGGTACCGAAAAAAAAACACAAAAAACTAAAACAACTTCTTAGGCTTACAGAAAAGGAGTTCTATGGAGAACAGAGCATATATTTCCTCTTACATTTACAAAGCACATTAGAAAATAGTAATTATATAGCGCACAATATACTCTCATAGACTACAAAAAATACAAAAAGCAAAGGCCAAAATTCTAACATCACTAATGAGTCTCTGAAAGACTGATTGTACTAAAAATCATATTTTTCACTAAGGATTACTCAGGAACTAGTGAGAGTGAGAACAAATCAGATGTGTAGCCTGTGGGCCTTTTATCAGGGCATCACTGTGAGAAAACTGAAAATGGAAAAAATAAGAGCAAAGAAAAAGTAAAAAAAAAGGTCAGAAAAAGTAACAGCAGCAATTAATGAATTAGAAAATGGATAAATAATAGAAAAGTATGTCTAAGGACTGGTTTTTTTGTAGAAAAACAATTAATCAGACGTTTAGCTTGCATAATGAAATAAAAAAGAAAGAAAGCATAAATTAAAGAGACAAGATGAAAGATATAACTTCTAATAATATAAAATCCTATTGTGATAATTTTTTTGAATGAGTTTTACAGAAAATATAAAAGATAGTGAAAAAATAAACAAAGAAATAACTAAAGAAGAAAATTTCCCAGTTATCCAAAATTTCCTGCTAAAAAGGAGAGAAGCCTTTTAAAGGTTTTATGCCAATCCTTATGTTGATTTTGAAAAACTGAAAATTCCTTTAAAAATACAACTATAGACCAAGCTCCCTCACACTTACAGATTTTAAAACTCCAAAAATATACTGACAATTTAATGTAGAAATTTTTCTAAAAATACTATCTTGTGATAAACAAATTTACACTAAGAATGCAAGACTCATTTACTATGAAATTTCAAAAATAAATCACTGCATTAGGCCAAAAGAGAAGCACCTTGGAGGTATTAATTCATTAGAGTCCAATATGTCTTTAATAAGGTACAGACTGTAGTGCTGGTTTGTCTGTCTTTTAATAAATTCAGTATTCCTTGAGACAAGAAAAGCCACTTTTTCACTCTCAGTCAATTATCTTTAATATTGAAACAGTAGCAATACCCACATTTTTGTTCAAAAAGTTGATACTTATAAATGATTTGCTTTTAAATGATTATTATTTTATTCTTATCTTTCTATATTTCCCATATTTTTGTGAGGAATAGCATCAGTACTCTGCTTAATGTTTCTCATAATTCTTTCCATTGTAGAAATCTTTTAAAATCTTACAGAACGTTCAGCACTTTCTCCAGAAAAATACATTAGCCACAAGTAAGCACCAAATTCTGCATGGTTGCTGGTCTTACAGAGCTATTAAAACTCACATGAAAACTCTAGGTGAACAGAGCAATTTTAAAGCAATTCTTCCAGAATTATTTCAACAGGTTTTCGCCAGAACTTTGTAGATGGGTATAGCTACTACTTTTACCATTTTAAAAATGAGTAAACTATATCTTAGAGGTTAAGAACTCACAGCTGGGAGGAACAGAATTCACACAAGTGGCCATGTTCCCCTGCCCTAGCACTCTGTGTTTAACGGCTTTGCAGAGCCTGGTCTGTTATGGACTGAATAGGATGTCATCTCATAAACAGAATCGGAGTCCTGACCCATAACGCTCTGCAGCACCTCCTAACTTTCCCGTGCCTTGCTTTCACCATCAATAAAGCAGAGATAATAATACTTGCCCTGCACATCCTTCAGAGTTGTTATGAAGATAAAGTACAGGAAAGGCACTTGCAAACATAATTTATCTTTATTATTATTAATACATAAATGTGTCTATTATGAATCTATTACAACTCAAGCAGCCCTGGGATAAGTGCCGATGGGATCTAGGTGGGGGGAAGAAAAGACAAAGCATCTTACTAAGAGGCAATTAAAATGGACCACTCACGCTCAAAAAGTCTTTGCTTGGGTAATTAGCAACCTACTGTGGATCCAACAAGGATTTCTTGGCTCTCTGTGGCCATCCCATAAAGTGAACCAACACAGTAGGGAGTTCCCAGCTATAAAAAATGTTGGCCTTCACAGGAAATTCCATCTAGTTGATGGCTGTGATTTAATTTTAATAATTAAAATTTAAGTTGATCTCTCAGTCCACGTTTTCTCCACTGCGTTCATCACAGGCTTGCTGAAGGCTACAGAGCAATGGAGGCACCAGAAGGAGCTAGGGAAGGTTGTTTACTCTGTGTGGCCCAATCAGACCGCATCCTCCCTCCCGTCAAAGATAGTTCCCTTGTCTTGATACCCTTGACGTTCGCCTACGATGGAGCGGGTCTGTGAGTCTCACTTCAGCTTCCTGAGACTCAGTTTCTTTCTCAGTAATCTGGGAATCCTGGAGCCTGCTGTGATAAAGTGGAAAATCTCTGGAAACTGCAGTGGACAGAGAAAATGGAAGGAATCGTCCTTTACTGCATTTCTAACCTTCCTGAGTGAGCCCCTTCCAATATCTTCTTTATCACAAATGTTCTGTGACAACACCTAATGTACTTCACAGTCTGCTCCAAAGCAGAGCTGAAGCTTTTCCATTGTTTTAATTTGGTTTTTGCTACTCTGTGCTCTCACCTATTTTGATTCCCTTGTTCTTTATCCGTTATCTATTTTATTTCTTATGTGCCAAATGGAAAAGTAGTTAAAGCTCAAGACTCGATGTGCTGATCCTTTCATCCTTAGTCATAACCTTTCTACAATTGCTCTGGAGTGACAGTTATAGAGCCCATAAGTGTGAGATCACTCCGGGCTGCTCTTCTAACCTCTAAATGGAATCAGTCCTCAGGGATGGATGGAATTTCACTGCGTTTTCCCATTTCATTTGTATAATGAAATCATTGTTTGGCCTCCCTTCTGTTCTTTTGCCCTTTCCGGTCTTAAAGTGGACCATTCAGATGTCCCCCCTCAAATTTCTCTACAAAAACTAGAAATTTTAAAAGGATGCACAGCAACTTGATTTTTTCTAAAGCTATTCCATCAAATAAACTCCCCTCTGTGCATCAGTGTCTACGTATTATATGCTTGCATGTCTTCTATGTGCATGGAAATAAACCTGTGTATCAATCTATAATGTGTGAACTTGGAAAATTCAAATCATCACTTGAAAGAGAATCACTTCTATTGTAATTGGGTCATGTTACCATATTAATCACATGTGGTCAGAGTCAACCCCAAGGAGCAGGTGCAATAGAACTTAACTATTCACTAGAATCAGCCTGAGTCCCTGTTAAAATGGTGGTCTCCAAATCTCACCCCAGAACCATGACTCAGATTTTGAGGAGGAAGATCAGAATGATGCATTCTTAGGAAGGTCACTATATTTTGAAAAAGCATTGCCGTAGAGGATTCATTTGACTGATTTCCTGAATTATGCCTGTATTTTAGACCCTTTAGGGGGAAACTGTTTATTCTACAAAGCTCCTAAGAGGACAGCTACAGCAAGACTATGTAAAACTTGTTCCAGATGGAAGCTGCTAGATATGCTCTGACTTTTATTCCAGGCTTGGAAGTTGAATCCTGAGTATCTCAGGCAAGCCTAGGGTCTTCTCTATGGTGCCATGGAACAATGAGGTTTGCTTTCTTTCTTTCTTTCTTTCTTTCTTTTTCTGGATTTTGTTTTGTGCAGTACTGAGGACTAAACACAGGACCATTCACATGAGCTACATCCCAGCCCTTTTTCTCTCTGTTTTACTTTGAGACAGTGTCTCACTAAATTGCCTAAGCTCAGGGGCTGGGGATTTAGCTCAGCGGCAAAAGCGCCTGACTGGCAAGCGCAAGGTCGTGAGTTCGGTTCCTGGTACCAGAGAAAAACCAAAAAAAAATAAAAAATAAAAAAAATAAAAAATAAATTGCCTAAACTGGACTGGAACTTGAAATCTTGCCTCAGCCTCCTAGAGTTCTGGGATCACAGGCCTGCACCACCACACCCACGTAGAAATGGATTTTAAGGTAACTCTAATAGCCTTTGACTTGTGCCATCCTCCCCACCCCAGAAAAAACAATGATGCTCCCATACAGAATAGCCATTACATCTCACTTCCCCAAGATAAGTTCTGCCAGCATCATAACTCATGATATTTGAGAAGCGACTTCAGTTTGAGATATTGGCAAATCCTATTGTTTGGATCTTCAGTGTCTCCAAAGGTCCATGTAGTAAAGATTTGTCCCCCATGACGGCGCTCCTGGGAGCTGGTAGAGCCTTTAAGAAGTGGATCATAGTGGGAGGTTGGCCGCTTCCTCTACATTTCCCTTCCCTTCTGTCATGAGGTAAACGGTTCTGATTCACCACCCACGTCTGCATGAATTCATGCCCTCATGGACGCAGACCCAGGGGTCTAACTGATAGTGGACTGAAACTTCTAAGAGTGTGAGCCTCTTTATAAGTTGATTATCTCAGATATTTGTTATAGCAACAGAAACCTGACAGAGTTAACATAAAAACAGTGGTTTTAGGGATGCACCTCAGTGGCACAGCGCCTGCATTTGATGCCCAGTACCAAACAAAAGCTGTTTCTTTTTTTGTTTTTTTTTTTTTTTTTGGTTTTTCTCCGGTACCGGGAACCGAACTCACGACCTTGCGCTTGCCAGGCAGGCGCTTTGCCACTGAGCTAAATCCCCAGCCCCAAAAGCTGTTTCTTTTAAATCAAGTTTTTATATTAAAAAATGGACGCAATGACTAGAAAACTCTCATGTAGGGTCTGCAAGTGTTTTTATGGACCTGCACACCCTCCACTGTTCACCATCAGCTCCTTTAAAGGAGAATAAAGCATATTCATTGGACTAAAGAGGAGTTTAGAGAATACAGTATATTCATAGGAGTTTTCAGAGTTTAGAGAGAATAACACTTGCCTGAGTCAGAAACAAAGTGAGAAAACCATATCTAGCCATTCTTTATTCTCCCCTTTTTAAAAACAGTTCTATGGTGGGACGTACTTTGACTAGCCATATGCAATTATATTTGCTGGAATCTTCTGATCTGCCCTATGACTCATAATAGTGACCTCACACAGCATAAGTCTTTTCATTGGAATGATAGCATTCATCGTACTGACCCATAGTTCTTTTTCTCATCAGTAACTTGAGTGAGTAACTTTACCCTCTTTGGCCAGAAATACTATCTATTCTAGTATAAGAAGATTAAGAAGGTATAGCCAGTGAGGATTTAGGAGTTTAAGTAATAAATAATCTCAGTTTTATCAGCATAACAATACCAGATAAAAGTACCATCCATTTCAGCTTAAAATGTATTAGAGAAATTACCTAATGCCTGTAGAGGAATGTTTCCTCTGAGAAGTGCAGATAGCTAAACTCGCTTCAATTACTTGGCTCTGAATACGTCCATCCACAATCAGTGAAAAAGATTAAAGTCTGAGAACAAAAAAAGAAATTTGTTTCTGAGTTGAAACTCATTTCTGTTTTGTAGACTATAATAGCTAGTAACACCTTTCTCTCTCTCTCTCTGTCTCTCTCTGTTTCAATGAAAGAAAACTAGTCCTCTGAAGCACATAAATATTAGTGTTATGCTCTTGGGAAAATGTACACACACACACGTGCACGTAGAGTAATACATTCAGATTCCCAAGTACTTTTACACATACATACACTCACATTTACAAATTAGCCAGCATTATAGCTCAATGTTTCTGAATCATCAGCAAAAATAGCTGATTTTAGTGCCAGTATGATAGAAAATGAAATCATAAGATATACTATTTTAATAAACACTTGGAACTATGATATTTTTCTTTAAATTTTATGTGCCATAGTTCATTTAAAAGATCTAACAGATTTTCTTTTACATTTCATGACATATATCTTGTTTATAAAGGACATTTGTCAGTCTTAATTCACTTGAAGATCTAAATGTGGTCTGCATAAGATAGTGTTGGCTCGTGACATTGCAGAGGAGATGCTAGGCTGGAAACTCCACTAGCATGCAGAAAATGGCGGCCAAGTAAGGACAGTCTGAAAAAACAGTCCTCCCAAATGGTAGTTTAAGAAACAAACAGAGATAAAGTTTTGGGAAACAGTGTGCTGATTGGTAAGCAAAATTCCCCTAGTTTTAAATGATGAGACACGGGGCTGGGGTTTAGCTCAGAGGCAAAGCGCCTGCCTGGCAAGCGCAAGGTCGTGAGTTCGGTTCCCAGTACCAGAGAAAAACCAAAAAAAAAAAAAAAAAAAAATGATGAGACACAAGGACAGTTGTTAAGTGAATCATAGAATTTTCACTTAATGTAAATAGATAGCACTAGATGCAGTGCTATGGCTTGTATCTAGATGTAACCCGCAAGGATGTGTGGTACTAAATTAATCTTCCGATTGGAATTAGCACAGCTCTGGGTGTGGATAATGGGAAGGCGCATGCTCTGTGTGGGTGGCGCCACCCAAAAGGCTTATAGCCTGAATGGGATAAAAGGGAAAGGGAGGCTTGCTTCATGGCTGCTTCTGCTGTTTCTGCCACTGCTTGCTGCCTTTCACTTGCCATGTTGTGGACTGTTTCTCCTCTCTGATGCCCCTCTGCTGTGCCACTCTGCATCAGAACAGGCTAACTGTGGTCTGAACCCTCTACAGACTATGAGCTGAAATAAATCCTTCATCTTTTAACTTGTGGGTGTCGGGTGTTGTGTCCCAACAAGAGCAGAAACTAACTTTTCCTTACCCACCAGGGTAAGGAAAAGGACCAATTAAACAGAAAAATGCATGGTATTATGACCAGTGATTTAGCCAATGATTCATGGGGGGAAAGTCAGAAATAAACACAGAATAAAAGTTTAGTTTTAATCAAAGATGATAATTCAAATTATTGGTAAAATAATGTGTTAGCAAAGAAATAGTGTTTGAACAAATTAGCAGCTACCTATACATTTGTATTTCTCCTTTATACTTACCACAATATAAATTACAGAAGCATAAAGGAAAATGAAGCCACAAAAGTTGGAGGAAGAAGCATAGAAAAATAATCTCTAGATGAGAAAAGTAATGTAACTATAATATGCAATCCAGGAGACAATATAGTAATGGATTAATCTCACTGTGTCAAAACATGTTTTTAGGCTGGAGGTGTAGCTCTGCGGCACAGTGCCTGCCTGGCTAGTGTGAGGTCATGAGTTCAATTCCTGGTACCAAAACAAAACAAAAAAAAACCATGTTTTTATACCCAAAACACCATTTAAAAAACAAAAGACAAAGCACATACTAGGGAAAATATTACAACTCTTAATACACAGTGCTAGTTATGTTTAAATCAGTATGTAAAAATTTCAGTTGAAAATAGAAACTTCTGGAAAATAAAGTATTGCTTTTTTATCATATACAGAAAGTCTCATCTTTACTCTTTTAAGTAACTATAAAAACTTCAAGATATATCACCTAACAGGTTAACAAAGGTCAAAAACTTGCTGACATATTACACCGTAGATAAATAAGCCCTGTTATTCATTACTGATGGGAGTGTTAACTGGTAAATCTCTATGGAAGTGAACAAAAAACAAACACATGTTTCTTTGACTCTGCAATTCTGTTTCTCATGAATTTCTCACGTAGTTCAGAATTTAAAGTTCCTCTATCCCAAATTCAAAAAGGAAAATGATAACTGTTCCTTGGCAATAGTCTCAAGCATAAACAACTTACCACTATAACCTGTTTTACAACTACTGAAATCAAACAGTAGAAATGTTAGGGACACACTTCTGAAAACAAGCCAATCAGTAAGAACTCCACACTTCTAAAAGCCAGCCACTTGGTTACAATGCCACAGTTCTGAAGTCAGCCTATCAGTAACAACTTGACACTTCTGAAACCAGCCAATCAGTAACTCTGCCATACATCTGACTGCCAACCTATCAGGCACGTGTACACTCCAATTACCCACCTTCCATGGCTAAGCAATCTCTAAGCACTCTTACTTGTACAGTGTTTCAATTTCTAAGTCCAGTGCTCCCCACACCTTCTAAAATCAGTTTTTATTTAGTTCTGATATAATTGTGCAAAAAGACTGTTGATCCTTGTTTAGCAAACAGTAAAATCAGGTTTTTGCTTTAAATGTTGAGGGATATCCTTGTCCTTCAGTTCAAATATTGACATATATGACAAAGGATACACATAGATGTGTTCATTAAAAGACTGTTTAGCATAGCAACAGCTTGTAAACAGCATAAGTACTCTAAAAGGCCTAATAAACCGGAAAACCAGAAACATCAGGTATGTCCGAAAAGGGAACAAGTTGTCATGGGGTAAATTATCTTTATTTCATTTACCTTGTGTGCATGTATCATTTATTAAAAATCAACTTATTTAGAGTCACAATTTCAAATTATAGGCATAAAATTAAAAAAACATATAAAAGTAGTATCAAAATAGCAACAGTTGCTAGGCTGTTACTGATGGAATAATGTTTTTAAGGATCTCTTTCCCTAAATATAATCTTATGACATAACTTGTAAATAGGAACTATTTAGAGATCCCATGGAAGGTATCAAACCAAAATACAGCAGATGGGATTATTCCATTGCAAGTTGACATGTGAGCAAAAACTGGATGGGACATTGAAAGAAACTTACTTATTGGATGAAACAATGTAAGAGAAAAGAGGAATTAGAAAAGTCCAAGAACATCCCTTGAGCGAAACTGACAGAGCAATTCCTTCCTAGAATATAAGGAGCTTTCAAGCAAATCCCAGAAGTTCAGCCCTGACTTAAGCCCTAACAATCCCTACTCCCAAAAGGTGGGAGAGCATTGCTTTACTTGTACTGCAGATGGGAAGTGTATCACAGAATTCAAAGTTAGCAAATATATCCATCCTTTGTCTTTTCTTTATAAAATAAACCTAGTAAAAAGTAGTGAAGCACTTTGCTTCATTTTAAATTAGTTCTGTCTTTCTCCCTGGTCCATGACAAATCCAGGGAAAATTCCAGCAGGCCATACTTGTAGAAGACAGCCTTGCATGCAGCATGATATCCACCAGAAACAACATCTATCAAGGACAGACTTGCTGAGTCAGGCAGGTCCCCCAAAGTAATCATAATTTTCTTACCGCTGTGCAGTGTGATCTCAGAATTCAGAAGTCAGGTTGAACTTCTTCCAAACGGAGCACTCTACAGAGGAGAAAATAGTAAAAATAAATGAAATCATGTTGCTTGCAAGTTAAACTGAGCTATTTGAGGATTAAAGTAGCGTATTAAAGTGATCCAAAGTCTCCAGCACGGAATTATTTTCAGTAGTCATTTGATATTGACATAATATTCACACTGCACTGACAAGAGTTGTAGAGTTTGATCCAGAGCTTCAGGTACACACTAATGTTGAGGAAATTCATAAGACATTTTAAATTATTTCATCACTTAAAATAACTTTATTCCAGTCCCCCTGTTCTGTTTTTATTTCTGGCCTTGCAGTACTTAACATCAGTTATATTGATTACACAAGGAAAAATAACACTACAGGTACAATTTCCTTCACTCTTCATTCATTTTAACTGATGTCTTCAGTCAAAAGCTTTGATTAACATGAAATCTGATAGTTAAACTGGACATCCAAACTGCTTCCTGTACAAAGAGATATTATTCTTAGGGACTCAAAAGGACAAGCTCCCAAATACATTCATATTTCTTTTCATGTTAAAAATAACTTCAATAATCACTTTCATCATCCATTGAACTTTCAGGTTAGTATCAGTCTTACAAAATTTAGAGCTTTTAAAATTTTCTTCAGATGCCTTCACTGGGCAATCTGGCAAAATTCTTTAAAATTAAAATGCATGTGATACAATTCCATTCCTGGGAATTCATAGAAGTATATGTACCATGGGGCTAATTCCAGCCCTGTGTTTTGGAGACCAGGAACAAGAAACCACGTATGGAGTTTTCTCTGAAGGGAAGCTGCTAATGGCATCTACTGGGTAGAGACCAGGGCATTGCTACACACCACAGATACAATAATGGTGGAATAAGCACACGAGACAGTGCTATATCCACCTCACAGAGATTTAGTAAGCTGCTAAGTATAACTAAACAACACTGTATCAGGTGACTTATGGAATTTTGTCAGCCACTTTGGGTTAGAAAAACAAGATGCAAAAGGTATACACAATTATTCATTTTTGTAAGAAAAGCAAATTGTAAAAGGAAGGCATCATTTCACTGATTCTTAAACAGGAGGGACAGACATGATGGACCCCTTGGCAAGGTCTAGAGATAGTTTGGATTGTGGCATCTACTGGGTAGAGGCCAGAGATACAGCTAAATATCTTATGCATAGCAGCCCCAAACAAAGAACTGTCTAACCCAAAGTGTCAAGAGTGCTGAGTGTGAGACACCCTGCTGTTGCAGAGATTGTATGATTTTATAATTCAATCATGTAAGTCTAGAAAACATACAGAAGCTCCCACATGAGGTTGTCCTTGTAACCTATCCTAGGAAAAGCAAAAGCAAGGGATGAAGGCTGAGATGCTAATGAGGGGAGGAAGGAATGGATGGATGTGCCCCTGCGAAGATCAGCATTATGGTACAATCTCCTTCTTATACTTAAACCGGTAGCAAAAGAAGCAAAAGCACCAGCTTCAAATCATCTTTGCCATCTTTATCTTGTTCCTTAGATGCAGTCAGGTAGTTAAAGGCTTAACTTCAGAGCTTCACTGAAACCACAGTTTTCATAGGTGCAAGAAAATGTAACAAATTCAGTGAGAGGCAACCTGATTTAAAGGTCACCAAAGTAATGGAAACGATAGCTTAGTCAGTCTGCCTTTGTCAAATCTTTGTACCACATTACTTAGACTCTCATGAATAATCTTGTTGATCTAATATGCACTAACCTCACCCTCTTGCACCCTTCATATCAGCAGTTTGGTATTTTTATTATGCTACAGGGAACTGAATTTAAAAGACCAAAAATATGACCAGTGACTCACTCACTTTGCATAGAGGTGGGTGTGGCTGATTTTGTTCTTCTTTTCTTATGGTGACCCCTTTACCTTATATCCTGCTAGCAAATCCACAAAATGGGTACAGGTGTCCCCCCTTTACCTTATATCCTGCTAGCAAATCCACAAAATGGGTACAGGTGTCTCCCCTTACCAATGGGGCATACACTCCAAAGCCCCCAGTGAATGCCTGAAAGCACAGGCAGTGCTACATCCTTTGCACATCATGCCTTTCCCTGTACATTTGTATCTGTGATAAAGTTTAACTGACAGAATAGGCACAGTAAGAGGTGCACAGCACCTAAGAGTAAAACAGAGCAATTATAATCATATTCCGTAATGAACCTTCCAGCATTCCTGGTGTGATTTGGAACCGTTATAAAATAAAATAAAGTTTACTTGAACATAAGCACTGTCACACCATGCAGCTGATCTGATAACGGAGCTGGCTATTAAGCGGCTAACGGGCAGGTAACATACAGAGCATGGTTAGAGTGAACGAAGGGTGACTCATAACTCAGGCAAGACAGAGCAGGGGAGCACAATATTTTATCACATTACGCAGCATAGTACACGCTTTAAAACTCATACAGCAATATCTCCGTTTGCAAACACTTCTGTTTGCCAGAGATTCAGTTTTAAAACAGGAGTGTTTGGCCAAATCTTGCTTTTGTTAGCAAAGTCCTCATCAGGTGATAGACACAACAGTGGCCATCTTCCCCAGAATTGTTGAACAAATTAAGTTCCTGGATCAAGGTACCACTGTGTATTATTTTATTTCTGGAATTTTTCATTTAATATTTTCAGATCACTGTTCCCTGTAGGTCACGGAAACCACAGGGATTAAAATTACAGATAACAAAACCCTGATTGCGTGCAGAATACTACAAAGAGTCAACAACTGGGATCTCATCTTGTTAAAAAGCTTTTGCACAGCAAAGGAAATCACCACAGAGTGAAAAGATGATCCAGTCAGTGACAAAAAGATCTTAGCCAGTGTTCCTCAGACAAAGGACTAATAGCTAGAACATATAAAGAACTGAAAAAATCAGACCCTCCCAAATTTAAAGACCCAATCCAAAAATTAGCATCTGAGATGAATACACACTTCTCAGATGAAGAAGTACAAATTGCAAATAAATATATGAAAAAATGTTCAGCATTGCTGGTTTTTCAAGAGATATAAATTAAAACAATGCTGAGATGCCATCTCACTGCAGAAAGAATGGCTATTATCAAGAAATCAACCCATAACAAATGCTGATGAGGCTGTGGGGAAAAAGGAACACTTCTCCACTGTTGGTGACTGGAAACAACCACTGGTACAACCACTGTGGAAATCAGTGTGGAAATTCTTCAGAAAACTAGGACTAGAAGTCCCATTTGACCCAGTTATTCCCCTTTTGGTATCTTGCTGAAAGAACTGAAAGCATCATACCACAATGATATATGCGCACCCATGTTTATGGCAACACAGTTTGTAATAGCTAAAGTTTGGAAACAGTCCAAATACCCATCAACCAATGAATGGATAGAAAAGATATTTTTTACACAGTGGAGTACTACTTAGCCATCAGAAAGGACACATTTGAGACGTGTGTAGCTGAATGGATGGACCTGAGACTATGCTCTTAAGTGAAATAAATAGGATGCACAGATGTAAACGTCACATTGTCTCTCTGATGTGAGAAACTGAAAGTGTAAATAAGAGTGAAAATGTAGAATAGATATTGTGAAATAGGAAGAAATTGTTCAAAAGAGAAGGGGATCTAGGGCAGGAGGGGGGAGTGAGGGAAGGGAAAAGAAATAAATGAGAAAAGGATAAAATGGAAACAAGGGTTTGTAAATGAGGATGGGAAGAAGGTTTTGAGGGGTAGGAGGGGAATGGAGAAAAAAGAGGAACCAAGGTCTATCATGTACAGGTACAAATTTCCTAACATGAATGCAATCATTATGCGTATCAAAATTATACAAGTAAACTTCATAATAAAAAAATAAATGAAACTAAAGATAAGGGAGGACTACTTTGTCCTGTGTAGTAACACCAGGTACTACAGAAGCACACAAAGTCACTGACACTTCTGAATTCGGGAGTATCCCTTTTATCTGCCCTAAATTCTTAGTCTGTAGATCTTTGCAAGCTGTCAGAGCTGTAATGCTTTCTGTGTCAGCTCTTCTTTGACATAAGCCCTGGTACAGCCTGCATGGCTGTAGAGTGGTCCAGCCAGGCAAAGAAGGGCCCAGGGTGCACTTTTAATAAATGACACTACAGTGGAGCTCTGGCAGCAGGGAAGGCAAGTCACGCAGGCAACCACGTTACCCAAGGAGGATGACCCACTCCCTCTAAATGTCAGAGGTCCTACACTTGGTCACTGCATACGCATAAACACCAGGAAGGCAGGGGGAGCTGAGAGGAGGCAAATAGATTTCCACCATTCATCTGAAAAAAGTTGTTATTTCCATCTCTTCCTATAGCACCGCCCCTCCATTCCATTTCACACTATTCAAGTCACACCCATTTTCCTACAAATGATTTGGGTGTATCCTTCTTTATAGCAGAGTAGTTTTCCATTGTGTGCAAACACATTTTCTTCATCCATTCATCTGTTGATAGGCACATAGGCAGCTTCCAAGATTCAGTGAGTATGAATTGTGTTACTATAAACATGTGTGTACACAGATCACTGTAACAATATGATGACTTCAGCTTTTCTGGGAAGATACCTAGATGATAAATGGCTGGGTAAAATGGGATTGCTATTGTTTTTTTGTTTTTAAGGAGTTTCATAATATTCTCCTTCCAAGCCTGTAGCAACCAAGCTTAGCTTTATTCTGGCTCCTCTGTGCAGCATAAGCTCCTCCCACCTTCCTTCTCTTGCAGCTTCTTCATACTTTTATTTTACTATTTTCCTTGCTGCACTCAAAATATCTGTAAGTCTTAGCATAGTCTTTTTTCACCTAAAGTATCTGTATCCAAATATTTATCTTCAGGCTGTTGTCTGATTATGACTTCAATATCACCCAAAAGTTGGCAAAAGTCTGGTCTCCATCACCATGACTAACTGTGTGCACTGAGCACTTGTTTCCTGGTGTTCTTTGGAAGCTGTCACTCCTCAGACTGGGCTATGACAAAGTCATTTCATTGCTACTCTCTTCTGATTTGAAAGGCCCCTTTCAGCTTTCTTGTCTGTGTGGTGAATTACAGGTGTGAGAATAACAAAGAGAACCCAGAACACTGGCTCACAATAACCAACAGGTTCTACTTCCTTTCGCTGGAAGTCTATCTTCAGCACAGTGTCAAGAAAGCTATCCAGGAGAGGAAGCCACCATGATAAATTGGCCGTGTTGGCATCAGCGCAGGAGCAGATGGGGGTGGCAGGTGTGGCTGGCATCTGTTTATTGCCCCAAAAATAGTCACAAGGGACCTGTTTAGTCATGACAAGTACACATACCTTTCTGCACATCTGAAGTTCGATTGACCTAAGAATGTAGATAAATACATAAACACACACACACACACACACACACTGCATTTCTGATATGGAGACGATCAAAGTCCTTTGTGAGGACAAGGCTCCGCCAGCAGCATCTTCTTACTGCTTCCACATTTCCTAACTATGTCCAGATTTCCTCCTGATGACTTCCTTCCCTAGCAGTCTGTTCAAGTGACTCTTAGAGTCACTTGAACATGGAACCTGGAACATGGAACCATGGAACATGGCATCTAGAACATGACTCTTGTCAATTCTCATGACTAAGTCTTTCACTGAATACAAACACCTGCTCAGATGTCACCTCTTCTGAGAAGCCCCACCAACCACTGTCTCGCCAGTGTTTGGCACTGCCAACCAGCTATTCATCCTCAGCCAGACTCTATTCCATTCCTTGGTGTTAATTTCTTCATAATGCATATCACCAGCGGATGTCACACTCTCAGTATACCCTGGGTTATGGGAGTCCTGCCCTGCACTCTGTCCTCATCTCCGCTGTATCATAAGCACCATCACCAGAATTTGGCTGTTTTGTGGATGGGAGCCCAGGACAGGGCAAGGCGCACAGCCAATGCCAGACATAGGTTTCTGGAACCCCTTAGTTCCATGAACTTAATCTGCTTTCTACACATTTGAGGAAGAGGTGGCATGACCCAGTCCAGATTACTCAAAGAATAGTAAAAACCAAATATTTTATTCATATCCATAGTCCTTTGCCTTCAAACACTGGCCCAGATTTTTTTATTTTGTTTGTTTTGTTTCACAAAAAAATTAACAGTAGTTGATAGAGGCTGTTTTCCTCCTAGGGGAATGAAGAAAGAGCAACTGTATATTCTACAAAGAACATAAATATTCCTTAGTCCTGAACCAGAGATTTTCAAGGAATTCTCAGGAATGCTCAAGGAATTCCAGGCCCTGACCTGCTCTTCCCATGGCGAATTCAGAGACACAGAGACTGCTGCACACACAGCTTCCGCACATGAAAACTGGAGGGCCCTGTTCTCCCCCAAACATTGCTGCTTATGCTAAGCTTTCTCGCCTGGGCTTGCAAAATTTCACACTGAAAATCGAGGTTCACGTTTAAAACCTCCTTAATTTAAGTCCTTGGGACAATTAACCAACCTCCTTCCCCCAGTGCCACTACTTCCTGCTGTTTATTTTCTCTCCTCAGGTTCTTCTCTTGTATTTCAACTATTCCTCCTTCCCAGTTCTGTTATCACATCTCTGTCACTCTGTTGTTGGGTATTTTAGAATACCCAGTAAGCATCCTAGATTTAAGGAACACTCATGTCCCAGGTGCTTTATATGCTATAAATTAACTCACTTGATCATCCCAATAAATTTGTACAGTCCATATCTGTTGGCCAATTTTAAGCATGAAAAAAGTTGAGTCTCAAAGAAATTCAATAACTTGCTCCTTGAGGACACAATACACCAAGGCAGCAGTATTACAAAGTCCAGACCATCTCCTTGTGTCATTATAAGTCCTTTTTGGACCTAAAAGAAATGCAGCATGGCAAGAATGTGTAAAGACACCAGAGAGAGAGAAGGGCAGAGACAGGATAGGAAAGTAAGACCTGGTCTTGGGTATAGGTTTTCTGCTTGAATCTTTATGAAGTATGAGTAAGTTATTTAATCGTTCTAAGCTTTATAATTCTCTCTTTCAAACAAATGGAGACTACCTAGTATTGCTGTCATAAGGCCGATGTGAAATTAAATGAAGTGATACACAAAAAGTATCTTCTCCCTGTGTCTAATCAGTAGATGCTAAGCAAATACACCATGTAGGAACCGAGCCCCAGGCTGAGTGTGTCTCTTGGTGTGTAAGCGTGTGACAGCCTCTATGTGCAGAATTTCTGAACATACGACAAACCGGGAGCTCCAGGCTGATTTGATGGGCTCGATTTCAAGTGCGAGTCTCTCAGTCTTTGCAAATCCAGTGATTCCCAGCTGTCATATGTCCCTGGCACAGTATTCCTGTAGTATCCGCCCAGTTCACTCTACATTACAGGGTAAGAGTCGTGTTTCTGCAAACAGCTGGGAGGACAGTGGTGCCCCACAGCAGGGAGCAGGGCCCCAGAGCACTTTGAGGGACAACAGAGACCAGGCGTGGTCCTCCACTTAAAGGTGGGGTAGTAATCCTGAGAAATAAGTGTTCTCAGTTTTCTTCAAATGTGACTATTTCCTTTCCCCAAGGAGTAAGGTCTCCAGATTTAGAAAGTAAATGTATGGTACTGCCACTGACATTCAAACTTCAGGTAAAGAATGAATATACTTTTACTATAAGTATGTGCCTGGCAGTAGTTGGTGACCTGAGCTATGATTTCTCCAGCATAGATGTGACTGTGTTTGCAGGCCCTGGTCCCCAGATATGAGGGCAATGGTTGATGAGCGGTGACTCATACAACACAGGCTCGGAGGCTCACGCAGCCAAAGCAGCATCACTGTTGCCATTTTTAATTCACATGACAGTTGCATGTTCTTTTAGGGTTAGGATTAGGGTTACTTCTAACCTCTAACCTCAAATTTCCAAAATAACATATTCTTCCCATTCAAATATCAGACATATACACAAGCTATATTTCTTTTTTCTCAAGGAATGAAATAAATAACTCATCCATCTCTGTCTTCTGTCCCTCCATCTACATGTGGGATATTCTTAATCCTGATTAAAACTTCCCACAAAGTCAGTGCTGTCTTTGTCTGCACTATCAAAAGCTGCCCTTATGGTCTCAAAGAATTATAAATATTTCAGGTTTTGAAAACACTATGAGTTCTTTAAATTTTGGAAATCTCTGATCTGTAAGAGGATTATTTTGAAAGGCTTGAAATAACTGTCTTTAGGGCAAATGCTCTGTGAAAGGGGTTAAAGAGCATTTCTCAGAACAGGGAAATACTACCGCAGAGGACGTATCTCCAACATATTTGAGGTACAAGTAGAGAAAACCGATGAGAAACTCCTGCATTTTGGTTCCAGTTTCATCTCTCTACTCAAATATGTGCATCGTTTGGTAAACCCGGTGCGAGCAATAATTTCCCATGCACATGGTTCTGGTATGGACCCATCACAGCTGTACGTGGCCAGGACACATTTTAATTATCAAGTCTCTACAAACAAACAAAATTAAGGGATCATTTTCAAACCACACCAAGATTCCTCTGAGGTGTGTAATTTGGTACCAACCTCTCAGACCTATTCTGTGGGTCTGAGGTGGATCCTGAGTTTAAACCCATTCCCCATCTGAGCAGGCACTAGTGATTCCCTAAATACATCTGAAGAACACTGCTGTCCCCCTATTAGCCACTCACTGATCTATAAATATGTCAGCAAATCTATAAGGTGGCTCCCTGACGTGAGATCTTAGTGGAACTTCTATTCAGAGCCAGAGAAGAGGGTGAAACCAAGAGTTCACCAGAGGGAGGTTTCCGACTCAGTGAGCTTCCCAGGTTCCTTCTCATGCTTCCCGAGTCCCTGAGTTTGGAACTGAACTTGCACAGAGAAAGGTGAGGTTTGAAAATTAAATGCAAAACTTTCAAGACTTCCCCATCCAGGCATAATGGTGCAATTCTGTAATTCCAGCATTCTGGGAGGAGGCTGAGACCGGAAGACCACAAGTTTAAGCACAGCCCAGGCAACTTAGCAATTTAATGAGGTCTTGACTCAGAATAAAAAAGACACAAGGATGTTGTTCAGTGCAAATGCCCTGGGGTTTAATCCCCTATACCAGAAAAAAAGAAGGCAGGCAAGCAGGCTGAAAGGCTTCTTCTTTGGGTACAAGGGTGCTATAGGGCAAGGGGGGAGAAAGGAGGAGGGAAGGCCCTGAAGTGTCAAGCAATTGGATCTAGACTGGGTAACACAGAATCCTCCTTTGTGTGGGACAGTAGTCTTTCTCTCTCTGACATGATCCTCAGTGTTTCCACCATTCCTGTTTCCTAACCCTGAGAAGTGACTTAAAACAGTAAGTATAGTTTTCCTTTTGTTACTCACCGGACTTAAGCCCCACTGTTAGCTTTAAACGGCAGAGATATCTTGACACAGCTATCTGAGGCCCTTGGAAAGTTACTTTTTCTAGGACACAGGTTTGATGCAAAACAAACAAACAAACAAAAAGCCTGTTGCCAAATCCAATGAAAGTCTTGGCTTCCTCAAAATAGCAATATTGAGCTAAAGCATCTGAGTTGCTGGCAGCATAGCTGGGTGAACAGAACTCAGCTCCAGTGCCTGACTGGATGGCACTGAATCCTGCCTCAGACCTCATTAGCTGATTACGCTTGGGTAAGGTAACGAACCTCTCTCTACTTCCATTGCTTTGTCTTTAAATTAAATAAAGTCCCAGTTCTTACCTGTTAGGGATAGTGTAGATTTAAATGAGTTCATTCATACCTACTGCTTAATATTCAGGATATATTAGGTGCTCAGTAAATATTAACTATCAACCTGCCCACAGAAAATAGCGCTCAAAGAGTATGGGCCCCCTTCACCAATTTCATGTGCGGTTGTATCCCACTGTGTGAAGGGTGGTTTCTGTCAGCTGTGAGCTCCATCCATCCACTGCCTCAACATTGACATCTACTCCCTTTCCTTGCCCAGAGCTTGAGTACATGTGTAGACTCTGAGCTGAGACCCTGACATCTGTACACATTTTAAACCCAAGTCATTAACTAACTGTGCATTGTATACATTTTACATCTATTTGAAAATACATGGAAGCAATTTATTACCTGGAACTGAAATTAGGATTAAAGATTCCTTGTCTCTGCCTGTCTCCCTCTCTGACTTTCCTGCCCTTTGGCTTTCCGTTTCCTCTCTCTCCTATCTCCTTCTCTCCCTCTCCTAAAACAAAACTGTAATTATCAACAAGAAAATTACTAACTGCTAACTTTCCTAATTTAAACATTTTTATCTTATATCCTGTGGTTCCCTCAGTCACCCATGTAAACAGAATTGAGAAACTGTCCTACCCTGGTATTATGGTTTATATCTAGGTGTCCCCCCAACGCTTCGTGTGATCAGAAGTGAGCCTTCTGAGGAGCGACTGGATCAGGAAGGCAATATAGCTGGCTTCCTGTTAAGAGGTGAGGTCTGGTTGGAAGAGGTGTTACTGTGGGGTGGCCTTGAGGGTTTATTTCCCTTCCCAACCCTTCCCTTGACTCTGCTTCCTGTCCACCGTGTCATGAGAAGCT